GGGTTGTATGACGTGTGTGAGTTCCGGCACCTTTTTTTTTTTTTTTTACAAAAAAAGCACTGCATTATACCAAACCAGAGCAGAACGAACTACAGAATGTGTGAATACAGCATTAGATGGCTTTTTTATTTCTTTCTGGATCTACTAAGATTTTGTTCCTCAGAATTAAAAGGTCTGCTTTGTCCTCCCTCAACAGTATCTCTGAAGCTATGTCTGACTTGACCAAGATTGGCTGGGAAAGAACGGCCAAAATTCATTCTTCCAGAATAGATCTAAAATTGCATTATTTCTTCTTCAGGGAAAAGGTCCAACCAAACAGCAAGCTTACAAAGACAATGACTGTTCTTCCCTTGTTGGCAAACAATCGAGTGAAGAAAGGCATAGCATTAGATGGGAAACTAAAGGATGAAGACACTAACCTGGCTTCTACTACTATGTAAGTCCAGAATGAAACACTAACTGGAACTGAAGAGGAAGTAGAGAAAAACAATTTTGTTTAATTTTGTATTCAGCCATTTTCCCTTCACCCCCTTATTGCACCCTTCAAATATTTTAGGATTTTAACTGTCAGAATTTTCTGTTAATATTTACAATGTGAGTAGTTTTATAGACATATGAATTATAAATAATTTTTTATTTCAAATCCAAAAGTAGCACAGTGGTGAATGCTGTGTTAAGCAGTTAATGCAACTGTAGGTGGATCTAATATACTTAAGTGAACTAAGCCTGGATCTTTCCAGAATGAGTTCTTAAAAATGTAGAAATATTAACATGGAATGTGAGAATATGTTATCCTAATTGAGACAGCTATACTAAGGAAGTATCGTATTTTTTAGCAAATGTGCAATGACACAATTTTTTTTTAAAAAAAAAAATCCCAACAGTATAAAAGATGGAATAGACCGGACAGTTCTAGGGATCCTGGTTGCTTACAAGATCAAGGTGAAGCTTACTGCCTCAGGGTAAGAACAATCAGAATTTGTACTCTATAATTACAAGTGTTTTTGATGTTATTGTCTTTTATGAAATGAAGATAAAGGATGGAGTTAATGTGTAGTAGATTACATGAGCAATTTTAAACAACCTTTTCAAGTTCAATAAATTACAGTGGTACTTTGGTACTTGTCGTTAATTGGTTTGGAGACGCACAACGTGTACTTAAAATAATGAGTGCCAAACAAACCACGTGACTTATCACATGACCCTTTGTTTTTAGCCAAAAACCACTTCATATCTGTCTCTCTTCTTATGTCAGAGACCTTCCCAACATGGTCGACTTCTTGTGGTCGTCCTCTGTGGTCGTCCCCCTCTTCCTTTTGCAGTGACCTTCCCAGTGTGGCCAACTTCCTGTCCATTCTCCATAGCTGTCTCTCTTTTCCTATAGCATGTCAAGACCAAACAAACGAGTACTGTAACAACATTTTCACGTCAAAATGTGTTGAGTACCAAATTTGATGAGTTTTGAAGCAACCGAGTACCAAGGTACCACTATATGTCACTCGTTGCTCTAAATTTGCCTGGATATTATTATTTAAAGCAATATATATTATGAAGCCAGATCAAATAGCTTTAGTATACTTGCATGATTATTTATTAGAAAGAGATACTACACAAATCTGCAGTTTGTAGGGTGGTACCCAGGTGTGATTGAATTGTGAGTTTAGGTATTTCAAACATGGTGGCCAATACATGGTATAATGGATCAGGTATGGAAGTAAGACCAAAGAGACACAGAATCATCAGCATTTAGCAGCTAGATGATTGGGGTCATTCAGTATTTCTTTATAGCCTACTCATAAAAACGAAATTTGGAGATTAAGTGGAAAATTTACTTTGTATGTGTCTTGCATTGTAAAACAGAGGATAGAATATGCATCTAAATATAACTGAAGAACACCTGAATGGTGGAAATATTGGATTGTTCCAAAAAGCAATTCACCATTGGGGATTGCATATACAGCTTTTAATGCCTGATCAGTTTAGGAATATGTACCGATAGAAGAGAAAATGTGTAGCTCAGGGTTGAACTGTGGAGTTCTTGATGCTCTCTGAGCTTAAGAATATGTGCTATGGAATATTATAAATTTCATTGTACAGTTAATGTTGTTTATATTTCAGCCTGCTGGGAGATTTCACTTCTAGGTAAATCTTTGAGATTTTCTCTTTGTAAATATTCTTCTCTCCTGAAATATCCATTTCAATTTTCAGATTTTTCGGAGAATGAAACTTCCTCTCCCTCCCACTGCTAAGCCTCTAAAACCTGTTCTCTGATGGGGTTTTTTTGTTTGAAATATGTCAAAGTTTACTTCCCCCTCCCTGATGCGTAGTGCGTACTCATTTTCTAAGTTTGATATTTCTATATTTTATTTTTTAAAACACCAATATGTAAGCTAACTAGTCGACTAGGTAACTGACAAGGCATACCATTTAAAAGGCAAACGTTCTACAAAATGTGAGGCACACTTCCTGACAGATGAGCAAATTTTGCCTATAACTCACCACAACACTGATTTTGATATTGGATTTTGCTATTTGGAATTCCATATCAGGATATTTAAAAACTGATATTTCCATATCAGGATATTTAAAAGCAAGCCATTCAGACTTATTGCTAATTTTTATGGGTCACACACCTGGAGTTTTACATAATAATTTTGATGTTTTTCATTTGTCAGCTTCAGGATGTTATCTGTGATTTAAAAATTAAAAAATAGATTCAAAAGGGGCCTATTTCACATATCCTAGGCTACAATTATAACAAAGCTAACTTAAAATCTTAGACAGCTGTGATAGTGGGTAAAAATATAAGTCTGCTCATTTATTTACGTTCTGATTACTTCCAATCTATAGTACTGTAATCCAGTTTACATTTTCAAACACTGGTGAAAAATTAGGAGAAAAGATTTAGGAGTGGTGTCTAAGAAATGATCAGACTTTGCTTTGGAACTGTGGAATCCTGAATCACCCCTCTTTTTTCCTGACCCCAAAGTGATGTGAGCATGGAGTTGCCCTTCCGTCTGATGCACCCCATGCAAGAAGAGCCCAATACAGCAGGTCGGTAGCATACAAATGGTTCCTTCTTGCCCTTGTTTTATTTTCCTCTTATTGCTAGTGATACTTTGGTGATGTGATAGCCTTCTTGTTCTGTGGAAATTTAGATTTCCCCTTTGACAAGAAAAAAAATGAAAAAACAATTAGATAGGCCTGAAAGTGAACAATTTCTTTGGCAACTGGAGGAAAGATCATATTTAGATTAAACAGAAAAGGACAAGCAAATGTTTATGTTATACTCTAATTAAAATTATAGAAGTTAAAAATAACATTATTATAAAATTAACTGGCTGCAAGATTATTTTTTTTAAGCAAAGCATGCTCTTTCACAGAATCTTCCACAGAAATTACTGAAAAGGCAAACACTATTTGCATTTTCAACCACACTTCCTTTTGCTTTAACCTTATTATTAGGACATCTCTAAACTAAGCCAAAGAGTGACAGCAAGCGCCTGGTGATTTGAGACTTGTTAATGGTCCCCATCTCCAAGACAGACACAT